TTTAACTAGTCAAGCACAGAACACATCAGGTTAATTCCATGATTTAATATATATTTATTTATCTCTGCAGGGTGGAGTGGAGATTACGGGCCTTTTGATAATGTAAACTGTTGCCAAGTTTTTAAAAGTTGGGTGCCTAAAGTTAGGCTTCTAAATCCATACTTAAGTCCCTAAATAAGTGACCTGATTTTCAGAAGTGCTATTTTGAGGGTTTAGGTGCTGTTCCTCTAGGAGTACATATAAATATAGGAGTACATTTCATTGTAACTAATTTACCTAAGTTTCACACAAAGTAAATTCCTGAGCCAGGATAAAATCCACATCTCCTGCTTTACTCCCTGTTGGCTTATCTCCTGGACCATTCCATTTTTTTTCTAATTGCATATTAGGATTTTTTCCTATAATGTTTATGTAAAAATACTTCTAGAAAGTTTTTAAGTGACAAAGTTAACACTTGCTGAAGCTAGCACAACTGCCTTTCAGGAAGGCATAGAGAAAAATCAATTGCCATTTTGCCTGTGCTCATGTTATATCAGAAGGCAGCAGAATTTATAAACAGTGATTAAGACTTCAGCCTCTCTCATTTTCAGAGAGGTCCGTGTGTGGGAAAAATGTGTCTCATTTAAAATTTACTTGATATAGTAATTGTCTTGACTCTTGCATTAGAATTGCATTGGGGTGATACAGTTGTTGCTGAATTACCACTGACATTTTTGTTTTCAGTGCATGCTAAATTAACAATACACTAAAAGACCAGAAAATGGAATAACCAGAAAACTCAGAATGGTTCTTTTCAGGTCCCTTGAATGGCTAATGGTTCTTTCTTTCTTTCTTTCTTGTTAGGGACTTCTGTTGCTGGGGCTTTATACATTTTTGCCAGAATATTCACTTGGTTAGCTGTCAGGAACAGATTTCCTTTCAATATATTTAAAGCAACATTTTTGATAGCTGCCACTAGGTCATCCAAAGCAGAACAGAAGAGTGCCTTGTGATGCTGCAGGGGACCTGGATGAGTAGTTTTATAACAGTCAGGTTTCTCAGCAAATGTCTAGACATGATTATTAGATTGCAGTCCACTTTTTATGACAGTTCTAACATACTGCCATCTGTCTTTATAAGCAGAATTCATATATATATATATATATATATTGCATTAACTGTGTGCCATTTGGGTGCAATAAGTTCTCACAACTATTCTTCTTTGAGAAGACTGTAGCAGAGTTTAAATCAACAAGTGAAGAGCCATATGGCTCACTTGTTAAATCATCAATGGCTTTTAAAAAGGAATTGTGACTTGTTGGAGTATAGTTGGCTGGATGCTTTTATTATTTGTAATTTATCTTGTGGCTTTTAGAGCAAACCATATTCAGACTGATGATTCTTCTGTTGTGCTGGTAATATATTGTTCCTCATTGAACAAAGATTTAGAGCTTGTAAAGAGAGATGGTTTGTGCAAAACACTTATCTTTTATGAAAGTGAGATATATTGATAGTGAATGCTACGTAATGGCTATATTTTCACCATTGTATTTTGCTATTAATTATCATCTTTATGGTAGCACCTACATTCTGCACACACTCAGGAAGACACAGCCTCCTATCCTGCAAATTGATCTGACCGGGGGGACGGGGAGGGGGGAGAGGACTTCTGTTCCTTGAATATCCCCATTGACTTCAAGGTACACATTATATACTTTGACAAAAAATGGTTAAATACACATCAGCTATACTCAGCAGCCCCAAGCTATCCATTATTAGCTGGTCAAAGCTCTATTTCTGATTGAATACTGTTCAGCTAATGTATTATTCAACAGATATTGGTGAAATTAGACTAATATATTTACAAATATGTTTTCTGTGATTTTCTCCACCTCTGATGCTTGTAGCTAAATATATTTATTTATACAGCAATCATACTCAAAAAGTTTCTTCCACTATCAGGGATATTTCTGCTTTCAGTTGATTTCCCAGCTAAGAACTGGAATGTCTCTGAAAGCAGTAGAATCTTTCCAAATGGAGGAAACTTAAGTGCAACTGCTATAATTGTGTGTATGCATACCATTTGTATGTGTGCAGTATATATGTGCAATTTGAATTCCCAGAGAAAACTCAGTTGTAGTTAGCAAATTAATAATTGAAATGCCTGGATACTCAGAGCTAAGGTTAAACTTACCATAAAGTATATAAATCCATAGCTAATGTACCCAAACTACTAAACTTTGTCCCTTTGACAATCCCAACCTCTCATCTACCTTTCTTTTTTCCTTTTATAGCTGCTTTGTAAGATGTGATGTTGAATCAAGCCCAAAAGCTACAGTTTATATTCTCATGGAGTACCCTCCACCAGTTTGGAGAGAACTGCTAAGTAGTCCACTGGCTCCCATTCATTTCAGGATTCCATTTACAAATTTACCTCCTTAATTTTAAAACCTTCCATGGAGTTGATCCAGCCTCTTCATGGACCTTTTTGTTCTCAAGTCCCTACTCCACACCCTCTTTAAATCTTGTACTTGACCTGTCTGTTCCTTCATGCAATCTGCCCACCTTGAGCAGGGGAGCCTTTGCTGCAATTTCTGCCATCTGGAACAACCTTCCTGTAGCTCTCTGCTCATACTAGTATTCTTTCTAGTTGAAAATCTTTTGTAAATACACATAGTACCTCTTCCTTTGCCTATATTTCTTAATTTCTCTCATGCCCCTGTGTTCATTTATTAATTTTAACATGGTTACAATGTATAAAGCCTTTTGGGATAGTTTGTATGAAAGACTCTCTATAAAACAAAATTGGATTGTATATAGGTCCTGCATGGTGTCATTTATTTATTCTTATGGTTTGCAATATCTCTTTCTCATCTAATTAATTTTCCAGTGTTTGTTTTGTGCTCTCTCCCTATAATTATCAGTCACACCATGATTTTGGTTCTCTGTATATCTTGTATTTGATTTAGTGCAATATTATTTACACATTCACCTTATAATTCATGGTTGAAAGAACAGATTCAGTGAATACTTTCTTTACAAGGCACTGGCTACTAAATGTCCTCTATGGCTTTGGTTTTAGATCTACTTTTGAAGGTCTTCAATGCAACTACTTAAGGTCTTACTGGATTGGAGTAATTCAGACAATATTTGTGTCTCCTCACTGTTTTCAAAGTGCATTAGTTGTACCTCAGCCCTTAACACTTTCTGCTTGAGGTCTCTGGGCCAAGTTCTGCTCTTAGTTACACTGACTCACTGTTTTGTGCCTGTTGTTATCCATGCTGACTTATCCATTATCCAGAATCTTGTAAATCAGGTTCATATCATTTGTGCTAGTTTTAAATTCTCTGAGGCTGACCTTGAAGCTGCAGATCTCCATGACAGTAACAAGTTGGGTAACAGAGCTGTCCCCTAGCAATCAATAATCCTCAAACTGCAAACAACTCATGACTTGCTTTTGGGAACTGTGTTTGACCCCAAGTACATGTGAAGGGATATAGTGCTCAAAACCAATGATTACCTTCAAAAATAGGAAATACAGTAGTGTTTGCTGGAACTGATCAATGATTTAATAATACCATTTGCATATACGTTCATTCATTCTTATAATGTTATGGTTTTTTGTGTTGGTAGACCTGAATGTTTTGTGGTCTAGTGTCCAAAAGATTCAGAATAATACTTTTATTTCCAATAGCTTCAAACTATGCATACTTTATGTTTGTAAGACACAGCCTACAATAGTGTGGGTTTGTTCCAGAGTTCATGCTACATTAATCTCAGTTCTAACAAGGGCAACTCTCATTTAATATTTATAATTCTGAATATTTTGTGCACAGTTCCCTTAAAAATACTCCAGTCCTCTTCCTTAAGTTCACTAGGAATACACAGTGGCACTGCCTTCTATAAGAAACTGTCTCAGCTTTCGATACAGCAAGGTGCTCCGCACCATCTGCCAGTTGCTAAGCCTTCTGAGCTCCTGTTGACTTCAAAGGGAATTAAACATGCTACTGAGCACCTTCCAGGAGGTACTCAGCATACTGCAGGACCAGGCTGCTAGATAGCAAGTGAGCATTGCCTCATTATTTGAAATGTCCCTTAGGCTACGTCTTCACTACGGGGGGGGGGGGGATCGATTTAAGATATGCAAATTCAGCTACGTGAATAGCGTAGCTGAATTCGACGTATCGCAGCCGACTTACCCTGCTGTAAGGATGGTGGCAAAATCGACCTCCGCGGCTTCCCGTCGACGGCGCTTACTCCCACCTCCGCTGGTGGAGTAAGAGCGTCGATTCGGGGATCAATTGTCACGTCCCAACGAGACGCGATAATTCGATCCCCGAGAGGTCGATTTCTACCCGCCGATTCAGGCGGGTAGTGTAGACCTAGCCTTAGACTACTTATAAGGGAGTGTAGGGGACATTATGAATGTGGAGGTAGTGTTATTTAAGACAACATGGGAAAAGTTTTCAGGGCAACCACTCTAATTTAACTTGTTTGGTTCCTTTGAAACTTTAAATGCTTTTATGCTTATCTGAAGTCTTCCATCCTCTGTTCCGAACAGAAAAGAGAACGACAGTATTTTTTCATAAGAGCTGAACAATAGTGCATTGAGATCAAATCATTTTGCAAGTCTGGAATACTGTAATGGAGACTTATTTCCATTAACAGGCTTAGGCATCTTAACTTGACAATACCTCCCACTCCATTTTCCCCTCCTTTCCCAGACCCCCACTCCTCCCCACACATAGTTTTCTTAGTCAGACTCACATATGCCAACAAAATCCGTGAACTAAGAGATTTGATTATTCTGTTCCAAAATCAAGTATCCCCTGTAGGATGGCTGAATTCACTAAGCCAAGCTCTCTGGAAGACTTCCCGCAAAAACCTAAAGCATACTTTTCTGTAGTATATTAACTCTGCATTTAATAAAGGGTTTCTGTTCCTTTTTCTCTTCCTAAAATAGATTCATCTGATACCAAAATTGTTACATGTACCACATGCTAAAATATAATTATTTGCAGGTGAAGAACTATTCTGGGTTATTCGCTATGGTGTTGTTTACAATCTGGTTGTGATGTGCAATGAACTCTGTGGGGATGCGAGTCGAGAAGGCTTAAGGAATGCAGTGTGGAAAGCTTTACAGAAACAAAAGAACAATGAAAAGGATAGCCGAATCCTGGAAGCCATAAGAGTAGCTGAGGTATGTATAAAATCTAAGTAACTGGAACAGACCATCACTCCAGCCGGTCACCAGTGTAACATAATCTAAACATTTATTTTTAGAGTGAAAAAATGAGGATGCCTTTAATTAAAGGAACAATCTCTGAGCCATGACTAGTAGCAAGCGCATTGGTTAGTGGTATTGGTCTCTGGAGCCTACTTTGATATTTGTCAGAATGTGGATTTAATTTAAAATAGGTTTTAAAGGGTTACTGTTTAGGTAAAAACTGACTTATTTTAAGTTTGATAGAGCAAAGAATATACTTTGGCTTCTAAATCCCTTAATATTTCGATTGGGTTTTTTATATAGCCCCCATGTTATTCAAACAAACCAAAAATAGTGAATGAGTTTCTCTTTCTGGTTTACTGGTCAGCAGTTAACTATTATTAGTGATCTTTACAGTCCTGCCGATGTTGCTGGTGGCTGATGCCTAGGCAGGAATAAGAGACTGCTATGCTACCTTTTGCTCAGATGGAAACAAAAAACAAAAAAGAATCATTGTGTTTTCTAAGGTCCAATCCAGCTCCCATGGCAATCAGTGTTAAAACTGCTATTGATCTCAACAGTGTGGGATTATTTATTATGTGAACTACATTATTGCCTAGAGTCCCCATCTGAGATCAAGTCCCCATTGTGCTAGGTACTGTACAAACACATAGTAAGAGGCAGTTCCTGCCTCAAAGACTTTACACTTCAAGTAGACAAGAGAAACAAAGGGTGGGAGAAAGGGCGTATTATCCCCATTTTACAGATGTGGAACATAGACACCAAGATAAAATGGCTTGCCCAAGATCACACAGGAGGGTCTGTGGGAGGGTCAGGAATGGCACCCAGGACCTTGAATCCCAATCAAATGCTTTTATCACAAGCCTGTACCTTTTTAAAAAAAAAAACAGACATCAGTGCTCACTAGACAATATCTCTGAGTTGTGTAACATTTCAAGGGGCACCAGGTAGGGTTATCTCCTATAGACATCATTGTTAACTCTATCCGCTGAGCCTTTGAAAGGAGCTCTTCAGAGTTAATGAAGGAGGGAAATCAGGGGACTTAACAAGGTGCACAAGGAGAAAAAAAAACTCTTCTAAATGCTGATGCTGATATTTTATTTAACTTAATGAAAACAGATGCTTTCATTCTGTAACTTCTTAAACTGTCAGCTATATTTGGCTATATCTCAGAGCAGAACATTAAACTGAAAACAGTGTCTGTCAATACCTAGAGGGTCTAGCCTGCCACATTTTCTCCACAGAATAGAAGTAGGTAAAAGGATAACATCACTGGGACTTAAGAATTTGGCAATTATTGTTTTAAGTGTGCTTTAGCGGATGAGTTCTTTGAATATAGACTCCATTCTTCATAAAATAGAAACAGAATTACAGAAGTGGGACAAGTTACAGTTAAGACAGGTAAGGAAGATAAATGTGCTGAAAATGGTGCCTGCAGAAAAGTTAAATTATGTATTAAATTCTCTGCCCAGTCCTATTATCTTAGGAAATTAGATAAGAATGTCTGATTTATTTAACTAGGATGAAAATAGGCCTAGGAGATTAAGTATTGAAATCTTTGATAACCTAGAGAACACAAGGGGATTTGTCAGCTATTCACGAGATATTCTTGGACATTTGCCTTTGCCCAACAGAATTAAGGCATGTCGTTTACCTTTTCCTGCACAAGTGCATGTGGAGTGAGGGGGTGGGGTTGGGAGGGGGGAGGAGGAATGCTCAGACTAGCACTCCTTGAATGCTGGGGGCAGGTAGTTTCACACCCAGCAGCAACCCACAATGATAAGGAGCATGATGAACTGGGCTTGAGGCACAGCTATGGCCCCTCCCATTTCTAGCATCGAGCATCTAGACTAGCATCTGGCAGCAGGTGCAAGGAGAGGATAGTGGTGTATGGGAAGGAATATATAATGTACCTTTTACCAGCAGGAATAAGGATAATTATCCCACATGTTTCCACCAGTGTTCTGAGATCCTCTCAGCAAAAACAACAGAGCACTTCCATTCAGCTGCTACAGGTACACCTACACACAGCACTCACCCTGGGATCAAGGCTATAGAATGTTCCTGAAGCTAACTAGCACCTCAGCACAAATAGAGATCAAAAAGGTACATTTTGCCTCCTTCTCTACTTCAGTTCCAGTGAACCACATTACAAGATAATTGATAATCTAGTTAGTTTGAATGGCCTACCTGTATGTATACAGAAGATCTCCTGTGGACCATGCTTAGCGGTGTGGCACATGACAACCTTTGCCTAAAGAGGAATAATACAATCTTTATTAATTAAATTCAGATATGGTGTGAACAGGTGCGACTTCTATTGAAATCAATGGGTAATGTTTGTGCCTACACTAAATTTTTGTCCTTATAGGAAGAAAATAGTTTCTCTAGGAATAATATTTTCCAGCCTTGCCAGGAATCACAATAGAATTTCAGTTAGAAACTTTGAAAATGGAAACAATTTCCCCAAGTAATACATATACAGGTAGAAATAGATATAGATTGTACTGTTGCAGTGAAATGAATTTACGTGTGTGCTTTAAGGTTATTGCAAAATAATGAAAAATTTAACTTGCTAAAACAAAGTATCTGTTTGTAGCCCATTAAGAATGTGTTTTCCTGGCCTTATGATCTCCACATCTTTAAGCAGATTGCAGTAGCTGCTTTCAAAGTACTTGAGTTGCTTCCAGGATACAGTGGAATTGCTTTTCAGATTGTGGTAGATGCGCATTTGCCATACAAGCCTACATCATGAGAACTGCAAAATTGTCTACCACCACCAGTGCTAACAGGAAGGCAGCCACAAGCTCCTCTAAATAGATCAGTCACAGGCATTAAAACCACAGAGGATCAGAGGATCACAAGAGGGGAAAGGAGAAGTAATCAGTTCACAACTTCCTATTACCAAAGGGCATATCTCTTGATTTAAAATAAGAACTCCCTGAACTTTCCTTCAATCCCCAAATTAATTCCAAACATACTTTGGATTTCTAAACCATTTGATAAGGACTCCTCCCCTCCCACCTCCCCTCAATTCCAACCCAGGGCTTTCCTGTTTCTTACATCTCCTCTCAGGAGCCTGCCATCTCCCCGAAATACACACACACACAGTCTCAGAGTCTTGGCCCTGGTCTACACTACGAGTTTAGGTCGAATTTAGCAGTGTTAGATCAATTTAACCCTGCACACATCCACACAATGAAGCCATTTTTGTTGACTTAAAGGGCTCTTAAAATCGATTTCTGTACTCCTCCCCGATGAGGGGATTAGCGCTGAAAAAAGAGAAGCCCCATAGTGTAGTGGTTATCACATTCACCTAACACACAAAAGCCCCATAGTGCAGTGGTTATCACATTCACGTAACATGTGAAACATACCTGGGTGGAAACAGGTCACTGTTCCTTTTCCTGACTCCCCTCCTCCATTTTTAGTCTTAGAAAGACCGCGCTGTGAAATTTTACTTTGAATTATATCAATTTTGAGTTAACTAATATGGAAGCTCTCTCTCAGTTATAGTCCCGGGTTCCTTACCCTTTCAGCTGCTCTGATAAACTAACATTTTTGTTAGGGGCAGGGGAAAATTTTCATGAAGCCTTTTATAGGGACTAAATGCTATCTAGATCTCTGAAATAATCTTAATGTGGCCCATAGAGTGCAATCCTTTGTTCTGGATTTGTCATTCCACAAGTTGAACTGCTCCTTACTACCGTCCAGGCTTCATGAGCCATGGGAGCAAGGGGCAGGCTGGGGTAGGTGTGACCGCGCAGTAATGCCAGCTGGCTGGTGGGAGAGCAGCCTGAGGCAGAAGCCTCCAGCTCGCATGATATTCCAGGCAGGACTGAATCTCCATGAGACGAAACTTAAAGAAGAGAATGACCTGGAGTCACTCCCATTCAGTGCTCTAAGAGGAGGATAGCCATGTCTGTCCAGGCACCCCTGATTGACCTCCCTGAGGTCTGCCAGCTGAGTGGGGCTGAGCGGGACCCCGGCTGGCAGGAGCTGGCGGACGGAGCCCCAGACCGGCAGCGAGCTGAGCGAGCTGACCGGAAAAAAAGCATGAAACGATTGTCTGCCATTGCTTTCACGGGGGGGGGGGGGGGCCTGACGACATGTACCCAAAACCACCCGCGACAAAGTTTTTGCCCCATCGGGCATTGGGAGCTTAACCCAGAAGTCCAATGGGCAGCGGAGACTGTGTGAACTGTGGGATAGCTACCCACAGTGCACCGCTCTGTAAGTCGATGCTAGCCGTGGTAGTGAGGACGCACTCCGCCAACTTAATGTGCTTAGTGTGGACATACACAATAGACTGTATAAAACTGAATTCTAAAAAATCAACTTCTATAAAATCGACCTAATTTAGTAGTGTAGACATACCTTTGGATTATGTAGATTGTAAACCCTTTTGCGGGGGCGGAGGCAAAGGGACCTTGTTTTCTTACTCTCTGTAAAGTGCCTTGTTCGCTGCTGGCAAAATAAGTAATAATGCAGGGAGAAGGAAGAAGCCTGACTCATCCTCCAGCTTCCAGTCCCTTAGGAAGTGATCTGCCCAGTCTGCTCTCCCAGATCCACTCAGGAGTCTTCTGCTGGGTGTGAGGTTGACCAACTGACCCCCCCACACACACACACACAGGGCAGCAGAATACAGTGGTTTTGCTGATAGTTTCTGACAATTTAAACAGTATAGTAGGGTTAATGCCTCAGAGTGCACCATGGCATTGTGAAGTTCCCCAAGCTAACGGGGTTCTCTTTGGAAAGGAAGGCAGGAGAGAGCTCATGTACTGTGAATTTCATGCATTTTGAGCCATACATTCCATAGTCCTTTTAGACAGCGCACCAGACTAGGACTCCAGAGAACCAGGTTCTCTTCCCAGCTCTACCACTGGCCTGATGGGTGATGTCACTTCTCTCTGCCTCAGTTTCCCTATCTATAAAATAATGACAATTCTACTGACCTCATTTGTAAAGCGCTT